TCACAGAAATGTTTCTTTGCCCTTCACTATTGAATATCTTGACATTAAATATATACATATATTTGTTTCAGAGTTGAAGAAACATCCATTTACCATCGCTTGCGGAAAAGAAACCACTGCAACCACAGGGACTACCAAAGCATCTCCAGAAATGGTGCGTAGCTTGCCACCTCGGTGTTCACCCAAGTCCCTTTAAAGATTGACCACAGATGGTGAGCATTAGATAATGAGGTCCAGAATACAGTGGGTCTCTCTTCCAACACCAGTGCCCTTTCTGAGTAAAGCATGCTGGGCTTCTAGCCATTTACCCATTGAAAAGGAGAAGATGCAGCCAACAGAAGTCCCAGAGCCAGGTGAGTCACCCACAGCAAAGTTTTAATAATTCAGGCCCAAGTGAATTGCAAAGGGTACCCAAGACTCAGGGAGCAAGACTTACACGAAAGCTATCTAAATAAGTACTGAGCAAATCAAGGTCATTGCCAAAGCTCTGCCATCCCCAGTGGCTCATTCTCCGTGTTTCCACTGAGGGTAGAATTTTAAGTTTTGCCTGTGTGAGCCTCCGTCTTCCAAATTAAACTTAGAGGTGGTATACTGTTGCAAGATATCCAGACTCCTGCTCAATAAACCATAGCCTGGCTGATGCCCAAAGAGTTGCTAACCAACTATAGTAGAGATGGCCATATGTGTGCTCCTCCCTCCCCATCTTCCCAAGCCCAGGATACATGTTCCTAACAGCCCTAGGTCTCCCTCTGGCTTCCTCAGCAGCTCTTATACAAGTGTATGACACTCAGTGTAGAGTGGTACTTGACACCAGCAGGGCAGTCTGCCTTCTATCCCTGGGCCATCTCTCCCTGACATTCGACATGGAAGAATTTTCCGAAGAGCATAAGTTTTAGTTAAATGTGTTACCTGCAAATAGTGTATTTTTAAAATAAATATTCTACACGAAACAAATGTTCTAAAAGAAATGGGAAGGGAAAATTACAACATACACATTTATTACAGCACTCAACCCAATTACCTAGTGTGTTAATATATATTTCTCAGAATGGAAAAAGTATAAGGATGTCTACAGTGTTGCAGCTTTAAAAAAAGAGATATGGGTAAGTCAAGAAGATATGGTCAGGTCACAGAGATAGTAAGTTACAAGGCTGAAACTTCTGCCCACCTTGCCTAACTCAGACACCAACAAAGGTCATACCTCTACCCCCTATGATCTAATATGAAAAAATGTCAGCCTTACTTCTCTACACAAAAATACTTCAATGGTGGAAGATGGTTGGTGGTGTATCCCACAGACATGATCCCCTTGCTGCATTTCCTCTGCTTTACTGAGATACTCAAACAGCCCCAATGTCGTAAAGGCTCTCTCTCTCTCTCTCTCTCAAGGGGCTGAAGAGATGGTTCAGCAGTTAAGAGCACTGGTTGCTTTTTCAGAGGACTGGGGTTTGATTCCCAGCACTCACTTGGCAGCTAACAACCATCTCTAACTCCAGTTCCAAGAGATCCAATGCACTTTCCTAGCCCCTTTGGGCATTATATGCACAGGAGCACTTATATACATACAAACCAAAACACTCATACATTAAAAAAATCAATCGATCAAAAAAGAGTTTATATACAAAAGAAAATGATGGCTAAGGATCTTTAGAAAAACTGGGCTATAAAATCAGGTATTATGGTTCAATTTTACATTTTTTAAGTAAAGGGGGGGGAGCTGTATCTAAGTAGAAAGATTAATAGGAAATACTCTGAAATAACTGTTTGATAAATTTTGAGTGATTGTTTGCCTTCTTCCCCCCAGCCATACTTTTCCAAAAAGTTCTATTTTTATATAAAAACTTTTGTAACCTCCTGGAAACTTAGAAAGAGCCATGGGCTGAAGGCATGTGGCTAAGGGAGGGCAATGTGCCCTAAGAATCCTCAGGCACACACATTGTAAGCTGTCCTCTCTCCCTGTGACTTTGAAGCCAACATTTCTATCGTTTTCAGACCCAGATACGTCAGCATCACTCTCCTACTCAGAATCTGGCAATCTTCTGTAAAATCATGAAGACCCAAGTAAGATACTCCAGAGAGTACCCCGGGTGCGGAAGAGCAGCCAGTCCTCCTGGTGTGCTCTGCTGTCTTGGCAGCATGCACTCCTTTGCCGTCCAGGTTGTCCATAGAAAAGGCAAGTGGCGATGAGAGGAGGATCTCAACACGGAGAAACACATCACATGGAGAATTCTATGGACACCCTCAACTTCTGTCAGTCTAATGAACAGAAGCTGGGAGGACAGGAGATCTCTTTTTCCTCAATTTGTACTCCTTAGAAACACAAATGTTCACTTTGTCTGGTATATTACTTCTTCGAAGATGCTTCTCAGCTGTTTTTCTAAGAAAGTGATTCTAAAGGGATATTTTTAGCTCCCCATAGTTACTCATATCTAATGCCCTGGCTTTATCCTCTGGCTCCTCTTCCCATTTTCTGTTGCTTTTCCTTGCTCTGCATTTTCTTTTGATATTATGCAGGTATAACCTGACTGCCCACACCAAGTTATTTCAATTACTCCCCAAGGTTTTTATTAGATATAGAAAAAGTCAGCTTTCCACATTCTGCATATTTATAGCTGTACTTATTTTTCAGAACCAGCAAAAGAGAGAGAGAGAGAGAGAGAGAGAGAGAAGAAAAAGGGAAGACAGAGTTGAATGGAATATTAAAGAGTTTCTTTTGAATTGTATAATAAGAATTAAAGGAACAGCTTCTATTTTCATCTTGACCATTATATAAGAAATCTCAAAAATGTCAACAGATATATACAGAGTCTTTTAGAATGTGAAATGTGAAAGTCACTGTGATCAGGAAATCATCCTCTGACATTGGAGGTTAGGAAGCTGTAGGCCCCACTCCCATCTCCATCACAAGCAGCAAAGGCAATGGTTTGTGGTGGCTCTGGCTGGTCCAACAGGCCAGAACAGCACAAGAGGCAGCCAGTGCATCGCAGGAAACAGAGTCAGAATGCTATGAGTTGACTGGCCTCTTACAGAATATTACCTTACCTCTCAGAGATTGAAAATGAGGTTTAGGGAACAAAGAGCAGAGACCACCCTGCCTGCTGCCTCATAAAACCTTTCCTCGAGGATAAAATAGGACTAGTTTGGGATTTGGGGGCCAGAAGTGACATGTACTTGGACTCATTTGCCAAAGGCCAGCAAAACCCCATTCATGGTTGTTAGGATAACAAGCCAGTTTGAGTGGATCACCTTTACCCTATCCCAGAGGGACAGGGTGCACCTTATCAGTATGGTGAGGAGTGGGAAGGACAGCTGTCTTGTGTTCTGCAAGCCCAGCTTCATGCCATGTATTGTGCAAGAATCACAAAGCCTGAAGTGTGGTTGACCCTGATGGGCCTTCATATATGACAGGAATTGCAGCAGCACACCTGAGTGTGCTGGAAGCCAAGTGAGGAAACACAGAGCTTCCTGAACATCCATCATTATAGTGTCATTGAAACAACGGTTGCTAGTTCCACCTGTACTGTTTATTCAGTCTGTTTTTAAATCAGTCACATTTTCAATGGCAAATTTTCTGAAAGAAACAAAATTAAAAGAAAATTTAAAAAACACATATCAATGATAACATCAGAAGGGCTGAGTTAAGCATCCAGGTCCCTGCGGACAGTGGCAGGCAGGAAGGTAGCAGGGATGCACTGGGGCAGCAAAAATGGACCTGCCAACAGAAGGGGCTCCCTCTGGAAGGAAGAGGCTGAGTAGTCACAGAAACGAGAAGTGGCTAAAGCTGAGACTGGAGGAGGGGAGCTGAGGCGGGGAACAGAGAAGTGAGCCAGACCGGGGAGGGGTCGTAGGATGGGAAGCCATTGGGCTACTGCCTGCAAGGGTTGGGAAGGAAGGGGGATATTACTCAGCATCTCATGGGGCAGAAGGAGCCTGAGGGCCATGGAGGAGTAAGCACTGAACCTGAGAGGATGGTAGGGCTAAGGAGGGAGGGTCTGCAGAGCAGCCTTGACTTCATGAGCTGGGAGCTCAAGACACACTAAAGGCTGAGGTTTTAAGGTAGAGGAGAATCAGATCAGAAGCATCACTCTCTTTCCAGCAAAGGTGCTCATCCTTCAGAGACTAGGTCATCAGAGAGACAGTCCGCAGCCTCCAACAGGGGAAGCTGTTCGAACAAATGTGGTACCCTAGACTATTTGCCACACTCATGCTACATGCTGAACTCTTTAAGACCTGGGCCCAGGCTCAGAGGAGATCCAGCAAGAGGGAGATTTGGCCCTCTCTATCCTTGCCTGGTTTCATACCTCACCTTCACACCCAGCAAAACCAACTAACTGCTCCTTCATACAGGCGCTGCAGATATCACTGTTGTTATGCTTCCTTGAGCTTGTGGTTATTTGCTTTAAGTCTGGCTCCCAGAGGACAGGAAACAGAAGGCATCAGGGAGCAATAATTATATTCCTAATAATGATCTTAGCATTGCCACACGATGTAGGTACTTGCCTATCCAATACTTTTTTTTAACCTAAAAATTCTTATTTTTAACCTTTAAAGGAGGCTAAATCATGAACGGTGATCATTTGCCCACATGAATATATAGTCATTTACCTCATTTAATATCAAGGATAAGAACCACTATGGGATATCCACTCATACCTGTTAGGATGTCCGTTATCAAAAAAAAAAAAAAAAACTAATGACAAGTGTTGGCTAGGATATAGAGAAATTGGAACCTTCATGAGTTATTGGAGGGAATGTAAAGTCTTCTGTCCACTATAGAAAACAATATATAATTACTCAAAAAAATGAAAAATTGAATTACTGTATGATTTATCAATCCCATTTCTGAATATCCAAAGTAATGAAGAACAGGATCTCAATGAGATATTTGTAATCCCTGTTTATTACATCATCATTTATAATAGTCAAAACATAAAACTGGCCTAAATGTCCACCAACATCTAAATGGAAAAAGAAAATGTGGTATATAAATGCAATGCAATGCAGCCTTCTAAGAAGGGAACTCTGCCATATATAACAGTATAAATAAACATTGAGGCCAATCCTAAGTGAAGTAAGTCAGCCACAGAAAGACAAATCCTGCATGATTTCACTTCTCTGAGGCATCTGAAGTAGTTAGAGAGGCAGGGTAGTCAC